CCCTGACAACAAGACCAAGTTGCGACAACGAGGTCAGCCCACTTCTATAAATCGAAAGGAGACTGCGACCGTACCAGAGGCCATAACATCTTGGTCTTCATATCCCCAATTCTTGTGTTTCACATAATAAATCTATTCCATTATTCTATTCAAGGGTTTTGCTAGACCATTAGCCCTATCTTATAATCTCCTTTCCTTCTGGTCATGAGTATGTTGAGAAGTAACGGACAATCTTCTTAAAGAACAATCAACTTAAAATTATTGTTGCCATGGCATTTAGCATCAAGGATGTCTATCAAGTCACAAAAGAGTATCTGAAATTGGCTTCGAGTTAGGCCCCCTGCATACTCTTTTTATAGGCCACATTCGCATCAATTCAAATTTGCCAAAACAATTAATAAACGTTTAATACCATGCTGACCCAGATTCAGTTGACTGGGTAAAGTTTATTTTTCAGAAAAACCGACCTTCAGCAAGTAATAAATATTCTTATTTCGTGTAGTTATAGGGCCGAAAATGGCTCAGGCCTAGAGTAATCCTTCATCTTTCCACTTGACTTATGAAAATATTTGAGAACTTTTCAAGCTTTACCTGAGAGCAATTTAAACCTTTCGGATACCAGGCTAAGATCTTAATAATTCTCTAATTGTCGTAGCATAAGAGCCATCCTAATGACTTATGCAGATGAAAGTTTGGCGGTGATATGATCTAAAATAAAGTATCTTCATAATAGGCATATAGGCTCAAGATTATAACCGTTTTGCATAAGCAATGAAGGGTACTTGCTGCTCTCTATCCGATATTGAAAGACATTCAAAGTATTCCCTTATGAATGCTTTATATTAGTTTTAAATTAAATTTCTTGGGCCATAATCAGCACAATAACATCCCCCTGAGCTTGTGATAATCTTTCAGAGAATGAAGATGATTGGGGAGAAATTAGAAGGCGTCGAAAGTAAGCGACTCCATCCGGTTTGAAGATTATGCGTTTTTTATGTGTTCAAGTTTATCTGATGAATCAATTTTCCTTCAACCCTTATTTTTCTTGCTTCCTACAAAAGTTTTATTATTAATAAAGTGTCTATGCTCGTCAATTAAATGAGGAGCTGTCAGTGAACAGAAAACATGCCCTTATAAGCACATCTGGGTCATGAATAATTGGGGTTGCGAGTACCTCGAAAGAAATATTGTTTCCAATATCAAAACATATTTTATAGTAATAATGCTCAAAATTTCTTTCAGAAGAGATATAATCCAAGTTGGGTTATTGAGGAAGTCATGTTTATAAGCACAAAAACTTAATTTGCATACAGGATTTCAGCCATTGTAGGCAATATTATTGGCTGCTCAATAGTGAAAATAAGATGGAAACTAGAAACTCAATTATAGATAGAGCCTGATAATACCCATTATAGCTTAGCCAGCCTATATGCATAAAGTCTGTACTATTCGATTTATCGATAATCTCGGCCAAATCATCGAATTCTTGATATTGTTTTTATCTGTTTTCACTTTGTAACATTAGGATTTAGAAGTTTTCTGATATATCTGAAATCCTAGCGCTCTGTCAAGAGCCGAGTAGGATTTTAAGACGATCTTCCACAGAAGTTACCTAATTGCTAATTAGCCACTTTTTGCTTCCTTCGGAATGTATCAATCAATTGGTATAAAAAAATGTAATATTACAGATCCAGAAGTTTTCTTCTCAAAACTGCAATTATCATTTCTAACATCTACGTGCAGTTCTACTCAGTCTCCTTGAGTTTCTATGTACTAACTAAAAGGAAAAAATTACATGTGCGATTTTTAGGATATAGCCCGTCAAATCACGAGTGTTTGTGTAACTTTTCATGAAGACATTCCTTACCATCTGTAAGTATGATCTCCACAGAGGATAAAAATTTGATGAATTGTGGACGGATTTGCCTAATCACAGTGCTCTATGCCAGGCCTTCCTAATGATTCCGTAATAAATTAAAAAGGGCCTTAAAACAGTTACTAATTATTTTCGTTTGTGTCAGGCTTCTCTTTCGAGGGTGTCAGTTTTGACTGGATTATGCTTCAACAGATAGTGAGTCTACCGCGGTTTTAAAAGGATCAGCACTATTATTGCATTAAATTTCACTTTTTCTTTTATCCGCAAATCCTGTGAAATAATGACCTTGAAGGAAAATAAAGCCATTTTAAAATAAAATCATTTTCTGTGGGGAATTCTTGTGTTGATAGACATTATTGTGCTTGCTATTACTCTCGATACACTACTGAGGTGTCTATTGAGTAGTATATTTTCCTCTTTATATATTTATATATAATTTTTAACTAGCATTTTTATGTGCCCCTTCGACGTCAAGAGGTTTATTACTCAAAATAAAAGCTTTTTGTCATTTGCGGCAGAGTGTAATTCGTTTAACAGTCAAGCCTTATTTCGTCTTCCTTATGGGCAAACTCAACAGCCGTCCGAGGAGAGACCGTGAGGCTGCCCATCAATTGGGCTTGTCTGAGACCGCCTGTCCGGGCCACAGAGACCCTAATCACTCCGGTACCACGTGGAGGTTTCTAATTGGATACATGATCCCATTTATAGTGAGCTTTGGGGGCACAACTGTAATCATAACGAGCGAATCTTCCTTTGTCTGACAAGCGCCGGTTAGTTAAGCGACGCGTTGCCTTGGCGCCAACGACCAGAGGTGAAAGAGCAAGGCCTGGCTGCAATTTGTAAAGGCTTAGGATCACACCGGGTTATATGCCACTTGGCCTGTATGCGTTTCTATGCCTAAAACTGTGCGAAGCAGGCCACCTCAAAAATGCAGTTCAAATAGGATGCTTTTGACCTGTATAAGCTGAACATGTGGTGGAGGTGTTGGTGTAAAAGGGCTCATCTCCATCGGGAGAGTGTGCGCTCCGCACGCAAAACAGCACACGGTTTCAGACACCTGCTCAGTTGGCACCGTTGGCGACAAGGAAAGGGAGAGAAAGCCTTTAAGTATATTTGATTCCAAGTTGTTCGGAAAGTAGTGTGTGAAGTCGAGTCATTCCAACTCGGTTGTTAGGTGTGTTTGTACAGATGCTGAACTATCCGTCATCCGGGGAACTGGAATTTCGGCCGGTATAAAGTGTTGCTTCTGCCTAGGTTTGAGAATGCAATGTGCAGATATCCTATTTATGGGGAGAACTGAATGCTCAATAGACACACTTCAGGAATGCTGGAACTGAAGACTTCAAAGGAAAATATCACAAAATCAAGGCACACCAGCGCATTCACGCGAATGATAGTCCGCGTAGGCGTGTGCGTCTGTGTGAAGATTACTCGGAAAGCAGATGGGTCGGCAAATGTCGGCTGGTCCGAGGGAGATGGGCTGGGCTGCAGATGAGGCTGTCGCTGAGGCTGGGAGGGGCCTATGACCGGGAGGCCTCTACGTCCGGGAAGGCGAGCTCCGCCGGATCGGGAAAGGACTAATGAAAGGTGTGTAGACGAAGTGGCTGTGAAGGGATTCAGTAAGGAATGCTCCGACTTCGGCTGATAAGAGATGTACTATTTCACAAAGTAAAGGCGAGAAAATAAAAAAGGAAACAGACTAAAGTCTGGAAATTGAGGAAAGGATGTGAAATTAATCGGTTTTGTCGGAGCCTCAAAATAGTCTTTGGATAAATAAACAAGAAAAACGGAGTACAGCAATATAAGTGAAAGATAGATAGATAGATAGATAGATAGATAGATAGATAGATAGATAGATAGAGACATAATGGTTTTATTAGCATGTTTTAGCTATTCCATATATACATATACGTATATATTTTTATCTACACCAATTTGTGTGCATCTGTGCATATGCAGGTTTGTGTGTGTGTGTGCGTTTGTTGGAATAAGGGCCAAGGAAATGGGAAAGCTGACGCCAGAGTGGCTTTCATGCGAAAGTGGTGAAAGTGGACGCCAGAGACAGCGAGCCCGGGGCGTTCTGACTGACAAGCTCCTGATCCGGGCACTTGGAGTCGCGCCAGTTGGAGACAGTCTGTCCCGGCGGTACCGTTTGTTCCCTCGGTCTGCCCAGCGGCGACCTCATCTGCCCCGGCAGGTGAAGAGGAGACGAGGTGGTGGGGGTGACGTCGAAGAGGACCAGCTGCGGCTTGCTGCTGGGCCAGCTCGAGTCGGCCTGGTCGTGGACATCACCGGTACCAGTGCCCGATGTGGGAGTGGTACCGAACGGCGAAAAGTCGCCGACCGAGCAGGCGGGGCGCTTGGGGCTGAGGTGGGCCTGTGATACCGACGGGTAGAAGCAGGCAGAAGAGACGGCGCCGACGGGAGTTGCGCCGACGAATGGAGTCGTGAAAGAGGAGACGTGAACCAACGTGGTCGGCTGGTTGATGAGCCCGTGCGAGAAGCCGGCCGAGCACATGTCGACCGGCAAGCCGGTTGTTGTGACTTGGTAGCCGGACGAGGCCAAGCTACTGGGAGACCGGTTGCGAAGGAGAATGGCGGTGGTGGGGCCGGCCAGGGAACTGTTGACCGGGGGCCCACAGCCGCAGCCTCCTGTGTCCAGGCTGTCTCCGTTGCCGCTGTCGCGATCCACGGAGACGGAGCTGGCGTCCTGTTTCTCGTCCAACTTTGCAGGAAGAAGAGGTAATACACAATTGCCGTCAGTATCAGGCTCTAGGGAGCAAGGCAATGACAACTAAAGGAGGAAAAGAGATATACCTTAAGCTCTGGTGCCCATAGGGGATGGGGGGGGACAAAAAGATTTGGAACTCGTAGGTTTTCGAGAACTTCAGTAAATCTTGAATACCAGTTCTAGTGCCACTCTTTGGAAGCAAGATCATGCGCAAGTCTTAAAGTAGGAAAAGTCAACTATCCTCTTATACTTTTTGGGCAAATACAACTTTTATGAAAGGAGAGCTTCACATATCAGACGAAAACACATCAGCCGAACTCAAGCTGTGAATAATGTTTGAGCCCATCGTGCTGAAACATTAGAATGTTTTCCGCTTGAACCGCACGTCCACGTTTAGAGTGTCGTCAGATGAGAAGATTAGACAAATATGAGGCGGAAATTGTAGTCACGGTTGAATGTAAAGGTAGTTTGTGAGGCACAGTTAAGTGGCAAAACCTTCGGATTTGCTCTTTGACACATTTCAGTTGGGATTAATTTGAAGCTGAGTTCATTCTTTTTTTCGCCAAAGCTATAGCTTAAACGAAGGATTAGAGTTGCTAGTCCCAGCCTCATCAAAGTGCGAAGTCATGTTAAATTGTTGTCATGATTTAAACTCCCAATAAATGCGAATCTATTACAAAATCTGAGGAGAAGAACATCCAAATAAGATGTTCCATGACAACATCGTTACTTTGGTCCGATCTTATATTCCCATTGACGGCCATGCAGAAAAAATTGGTTGCAGTGATACACTTTGCGGGAAAATAATTCTTCTTTTCAAAGCCAGTCAGGCTCGCATCCCAGCAAGGCGACATAAAAGCCAGTATCTCTTGACACCAACCATTAAAATACCAGATCCGGAGATAATAAAGGAAAGGGTTGAGTGACTGTTAAAATATAGAGTTGTTTCGAGGGTATGAACACCAAGATGGTGCACCCTTTTGTGTGGTCGTAGTCTCCTTTCGCTGTTTAGAAATTGTTTGACCTTGTTTCTGCAACTTGGTCACATTGGTAGGAAGACTTGGAGAAACACACCTAGTCCGGAGTCCATTGTATGCATGATCATTTACACAGTCGGACTGTGGACTTGGTACATCCCCAGTCTTAGCACCATACTACAACTCGTCAAGAAGACAAGTGAAGCCGATCCTTTGACCAAATGTATTCTAAACAGTTGTGGTATCTCTTCTTTTGCCCTGGGCTATTCACATTTCCTATATCCTCGTTTCACGCCTTAAATATCACATTTTTTACTTGTTCAAATTTGGTATGGTGTGCCCTTTTGAGCGGCTTTCATGCGAAATCTCCACACTCTATACTGGCTTTATCACCCCTCTCATACCCCTCCACCCTTGTGTTGGGAATGTTGATCAGAGTCTGTCATATTGTTACGTAGTTCTTCTTCCATACACATGGTAGTGCGGATAGAAACAGGATAGACTATAGAAGGAGGACTACATAACAATAGGGCAGACTCTGATCAACATTCCCAGCACAAGGATGGAGGGGGATGAGGGGGGTGAGAAAGCCAGCGTAGTGTGGAGAGTTCTCATGAAAGCCGCTCAGAAGGGCAAACCATATCACATTTAAACAATAAAGTGAAAATTGTGATATTAAGGGTGTGATACAAGAAGATAGGATTGATGATTAGCCCAATGCGGAAGGAGAAATACAGATAATTGGTCATATGATCGGTTTCACTTGTCTTTTGACGAGTTGTAGTGTGGTGCTAAGAATGGCAAGACTCAATGACGATGCCTGTGAAACGTCTGGGAATGTACCACATCCACGGTCCGACTCTGGAAATAATTATGCATACTATGGACTCCGGACTAGGCACGTTTCTCTAAGTCTCCCTGCCAATATCAACAAGTTGCACAGACAAGGTCAAACAATTTCTATACATTTTCGTATAAGTGGAGTTTAAAGACTGCGAGTAAATAAGTAATATGAGATGTATTCACCCTATTTCGTTTAAGATGACGAAAGTAGGACTGAAAGTAGAATGCATAAGTGATTTACTGACAGTCTCGGAACTCTACTTATACGAAAGTAAGTAATGTAGTAGATTATCATAGCAAAAACACGTTTGCTTCATCGACAATCCCACCAAAGAATGTGATATGGGAAGAGGCCTGGTCTTCTTTGAAATTCACATCTGCTCTGTGACGCAAGGCCACTCGTGACAATATGGTTCACGTGTCAAGCTCACATGCATCACTGTAACGGTTCGACTCCCGCTTGGGGTGTTGATAAGACCGCGAGGTCAAAACTGCAGTCCACTGGCGCGTGGATAAGAAAAAATTTTGAGAAAGCGAGGCAATGTGAAATTTAATGGAAACGTCAGCTCTACTCATATGATTGTGGGAAAATTCTACTACGATTCCTTAATGACTTTAAACGGAATAGGATGGATACATCTCATATTACTGATTTACTGATAGTCTACAAACTCTACTTACATACGAAATATGTTATTAATGTCGGCATGAAATGTCATCACTTTATGACTTCCACGCGCTTATGATTACTCGTAGGGGACTTTTGAGAGCTGGGTAAAGTCGAGACCCTCTGTGATGCAAAGCAAACTGGCGTAAAATGGCGAATCTAAATTCCCTCTGATCTTTTTGTATCCCAAAAAGTGATTAATTTACAGAACTATAATCTCTAAAATAATATATAATAATACTAACTATTAATTTAAATATATAATGAATGATGTAATTATGTTGCAAATTATGGTATAAGAAGTGTTTAATTGCACTGGGCAACCCTAAGTACGTGACTTTATGTATTTGGTGCGTATTTTCGTATAGTATGGTTCCCCGCTCTGACGCTAAGTCGAAACTACAGTCCACTTCCGCCTAGATGAGAACAATTTTGGGACAGCAAGGCTCTGTGAAACTCAATGGAAGCGTCAGCTCTACTCATATCGTTGTAGGAAAATCCTACTACCAGTCCTTAATCACCTTAAACGGAATAGGATGAATACATCTTATATAACTTCTATACAGTTTTGTATTTGCAGCAGTAGTTGTTGAGCATGCTTCACTATCTGTAGTTTCGGCCATGTTGGTTTTACTTGAATATAGACACCATTCACCCAGAAGGTGAAAAGTCCTACACACAAACTTGCTTTGCCAAATAGTTGCTATGATTCTGATGCATGAGAACAAAGATTGCAGCTTTATGCTAGTTTTTATTTAAAAATCCTACTACGTCGCTTCTGCTTCAATGCTCTGTAAAATTAGGTTTCTCGTGCCAGTTGATAGATCCGAGCCTCTGCTGATGCACCACCAATTCAAGAAATCTGTAGCTCTGGCCGCTATCCTCGGCATCAAGAGCATGGTTCTATCATTCAGGTATCAATGGTAGGATAGAAGTAAGTGGTTTAGGCGAAACTTAAGAGTCGATAACTACGACCTACACTCGACGATCAACCAGACAACATGGCCTCCGTTAATACACATTGTTGACGGGATGCACAAAGATGACAAATGAAAAATTGGA